ATGCAAAAATCACGGATAACATATATTTTATTGGGAGAAAGAGAGAGTATGTGTGTGTATTGTGTGTGCATGTGTGTGTAGAGTGAATAATATAATATATAGATTTAATATTATCATCATTATAAAAAAATAAAAATAAAAATAAAAAATAAATTTATGCTTACCTAAGTCGAATTGACTGTCTAATTTGTTCACCAGATATCTGATAATCCATCTGGTCAATCTGATGATATAAATGGATCAATCTAAATCCAGTTAAATTTTAGATAGATGACTAGATATTCAGATTGATCAGATTCAGAGCACACCTCTAGTATAAATATCGTAAGGTCTTCTTTTTGCTACTTAAAAAGAAATTTTAATAAATGAGAAGCGTCTGATCTAATAATTTGATTATTGTGTTTGATTTTCTGAATAGCATTTAATAGATCTTGAGTAAGAAAAAGTTGATCAAAAAATAATGGTTGCAATAAATTTCATATAGTATATACATTACAATGACTATATATAACTGCATGCTCAATTTTTTCCATTATAGGATCATTAAACCTTTGAAATTTCATAATGAATCTTGCATTATCAGCAAGTAATTCGTGATTATAGTTAGGATGAATAAAATTTAAATGCACTAAATCATCATTTTTGTGTTTACTTAAATTAATATGCTATTTACAGTCAGTTTTTTTGATTCTTTATTATGTTGATACTCAATCATTTTCATTTTACGAGATTTATACTTTCTAAAATACTTGTACATGTAAGTTCTTTTTTTTACACTTCATTCAGTCAAGTTAGATGATTTATTTTTATAGTATTCAACTTGATGCTGATTAATTACAAATCTCTTCTGCTTTTTAAACTCTTTTATATGATCTTCAGCAATAATTCAAGAAACAAAATGATCCTCAATAGATAATTATAAAATTTGAGGCAATATATAAAAATCAGTATTGATAGAAATCTTAGCCTAAACTAGAGAATCAGTATTAATAGACTCAGCTTGAGTTAGAGAACTAGTGTTGATAGACATCTCAGCTTCAGCTTGAGCTGAAAAATCAGAAAGTAGTAAAGAAACAGCAGATGAAGATATAGAATTATCTTTCATTGAAACCATTAGAAGAATAGGTGATAGAATCATTGAAGGAATAAATAACAGAACTGTTAAAGAAATAAGTGATAGAACTATTAGAGAAATAAGTGACAGAACTGTTAAAGGAATAAGTAGTAGAACTATTAGAGGAATAAGTGGCAAACTGTTAAAAAAATTTGCATTGAAATTGAAGTTATTAAAAGAGACATTATAGAGGTTGAGTTAATATTTTCAGTAATATTATCAAAAACTTCAAATTCTGAATCAGTAATAGGTGTTAAAGAATATATAATTTCTTTAGAAATTTCTATTCCTGAAACAAAAAAAAGGTTTTCAGGCAAAACTTCAAAAGCTATAGAATACAATTGAGTTAGTAAAGAATTTACAAGTATTATAATGAAAATAAATAAACTAACCTTTATCAGTTTTTTCATTTATAGTTTTCATAAAAATAAAACTATCAATTATACATTATTTTAAAAGATCATTAAAAACGAAATTGAGGATAAAAAGCAAAAGAATGTCTATAGTAAAAAAATGGCTTAGGCTAGTAAAAGAATGACTAAAGAGAAGCAAATTCATATTACAAAAATAGCCTACTTCAATATTTACACTATATCATTATACAAGTATTTCATTCTATGACAAAGGATTATCATACTAACAAAATTTTAACTTTAAAATGCAGGAATATGAAACATGAAATACGTTAAAATCATGTGACATATTCAATAATATTTTTTATAAAAATACGTATTAATACAAATATTATATCACGTGATTAAATAGGATATGGTATCACTGCAGGAGACGTTAAATAAATTTACTCTTAAATTTATAATATTATCTAATCTAATAAATTAATTAAAAGTATATAATTAATTATGTTCAAGTATAATATTTTTAAAAAAATAAATTAGCTGTAAATTATTCTTTTAAAATTAAGGTATCAAAATAAGAAATATAAGAAATTAAAATATTTTAAAAAATTTCATTATATCTTGAATTTTAATTTTATAGATTAAAATTCTATAAGCTACAATTGGTATGAATTAACTCAATAAATAAATTTCTATTTTAGAATTATTTAAACAAATTTTAAAGTTCAATAACATTTTATTATATTATAGTATTATGATTTAATTTTATATCTAGTTAAAAATCTTATATAATCTATTAATATAAAATAAAAATCTTATTTTTAATTAGAAAACTTAGAACTTAATTTTATTAAAAACACTTTCATATGATACAGTTTATAAAATTTGTTTAGTTTTGCTCTGAATAGTTTAATTTAATTTAATTATAAATCTTAAAATACTAATCTAAATCTGAAAAAAAATTGTGTACTATTTAGATTCTGATCTAAACTGAAAATTTTAGATTATTTAAAATTTAGTTTAATTATATCTTTATTATTTGATATTTTTAATTATTCTAAATTAAATAATTCATTTTTATTTGATTGAATAATAATTTGATCATTCCAATCAAATGTTCTTTTATTATTTAATTAAAATAATAATTTTAGCCGTTTATGACTAAATAATATAATTATATTATTTAGTCATAAACGGCTTAGAATAGGTTATTTAGTAATAAA